AGAAGAAGAAAAAGAAAAAAAGAAAATGGGCAGATGCACGATACCGATTGGTGCAGATGGTTGCTACTAGATAGGTGGCTGATTTTTTTTTTTCCCCCGATCGACGTTGCGTGAGCCACTTCTCCTTGGCGTAGCTTATCGCCGGTTTTTATCATGCGTACGCGTTGCACCGCGTTTCCTGTTACGCCGGCGTAACCAGCGTCGTTCTCTCTCGCAATTATCCGGCGCCCCCGTGCTCAAGGTCGGCGAAATCATGGAACCGAGAGCAGCCTTTTCGAAGTCGTGTAAAAAGCACAAGGCGCGGAACTCACATCGAAAGCGTGATGCGTGTTTCTCTGTAAAGATTCTAAATATGTACATTGTACGCGTGAGTGCAGACACTTCTTAATTAGCTTCTATTTTTGTTGTTGTTGATTGATGGAAGAACGGTGATCTATCGAGAGTATCTCTTTTTTTTTTCCTATCTGTCTGTCCACCGATGCATGCATGCTTCTGTGTGTCAGAGACCTTTGATTTCAAAGAAAGGTCCAAAGCTGGGTAGCGGTCTGAAGTTTCGTAGCGCGCTACTACATGGCTAGCCTATCAGTTACCATCGGTTCGAGCAGCGAATTTTATCGAGTTTTAATCTCGTTCTTTTTAGAGTCGCAGAGGCCGGCCAGCAAGAGGAGAAAGCGAAAGGGCAGCACATCGGGCCCGGGGAACAACGCGCCGCCAGCGCCCAGCAAAAAGAGATCACCGGGTCCGAATTTTTCACTGGCGTCACAGGTGAGCCTCATGGCATCCGACTCGTTAGATACTTAGAAATCTGGAACGGACCGCAGCCGAAGCGTCCTTTATCGAAAGGCTGTGTCTCCGTTTTAAACTTCTACAATCGTTATTTAATTTACCATAACGAAAAAAAACGTTGCAATACAAAAACGGAATAACGAGATCGTAATCCCGTACGTAATCGATATATAATAAGGCTACCTGTCCGTCCATATGACACTCCATAATCGTAGCCCGAGCGAGCTTGTTTAACGATCTGTTCTACTCTTCTGTCGATGCAGGACGTGATGGTTGTGGGTGAACCGTCGCTGATGGGAGGGGACTTTGGCGAAGAGGACGAACGGGTAATCACGAGGTTGGAGAACACGCAGTACGACGCGACGAACAGCTTGGACCCGCACAGTCACGACACGCCCGGTGGACCACCTCCGCATCCGCATCAATTCCACTCGGAACCGACCCCGGGTAACTCCTGGCCTCCGGACCGCGGTCCTGGACCGCCACAGGGAGGACCCGGCAGTCAGGTAAACGCCACCGTTTCCAAACGCACGTTCGCGAAACGTACGAACGCCGAAGGAAGATTGTCGATTGTCGAGGCGTGACGTGCAACACGGCGGTTGCAGGGAGTTCAAGGCGGTCAAGGGGGAGCGGCGCAAGGTGTACAGGGAACGCAGGATGCCAGTCAACAGCAACAAGACAAGAAGAGCCCCGCGGTGAGCCAGTGAGGCCAGGAGTCCCCGCGCCCCCCTACCAGGGGGCGACGGGGGCGCAGGCCCAAGAACATGGCTCCCTAGCGGGGCGAGAATCCTAACCTCCCCGGCGCCTACTTGGCCTCGTCTGGCTGTTCGGCCAGCAGGCTGTCGCACGTCGGCGTACATCCGCTGGCCTGTCATCAGGCTGGCCTGTCCGGTCATCACACGGAGCAGCAGGTGCAGCTGGGCCACGCAGCGGCAGCGGCCGCCGCCGCAGCCTCCATGGGGATGGAATCCTCGGAGCTGGTCGCGGTCGCTCACTACCAGGCGCAACAGCTTCAGCGACAATTGTTGGCCGAGCAGTCCGCCACCGGCAGCGGGATGTTGCCGCCAACTGCTGGTCAGCCCACCGGTAGTGGAGGTTTGTCGACGCAGTCGCTGCAGCAGCCGCAACAAGCTCAGTCGCAAGGCCAAGACCCGCTGCAAAGCCTGATGCAGCAGCTCATCTGTTTGCAACAGATCGAGTACTTTTTCGCTCAGCGTGGTCACAAGTGAATCATCATCGTCCTCGTCATCGTCGTCGTCGTCGTCGTTGTGAGAGGATATGGCGGACAATCGTGGTTGTAACTGGAAGCGATACCATGGAGCGATCGCGAGACACGAAAGAACTCCGTGACCGATTGAGAGAATCAGTGCGTTCTCGCGTTTTGCTTCGAACGAGCTTCTTCTCAACGACCGTCTGTCCTCGTGCTGTGTGACCTGATGATTTACGCTGTCGTTCGAGGTTGAGGATGGACGCGCAATTTCCGTTCGAGGTGCGCCACACGTACATACGCGAGTGTACAGGCACACCGAGAAACAGATTCATGTAAAAGTATACACACACGTACAACACACACCGTTTGCCGTTGGTCGAGCCTCGAATGGAAGGCAGGGGGAGGCGCGCGGTGTTTCCGAATTCTGCGAAGCTAAAGGGAGAGTAGCAGCGGACCCGGGCCGGCAATAGTCGAAGCGCGTTTCGCCGTCGCGTTCCCGCTTCGTCCGGGCACGATCCAAGAGACACCGTTGCGATCGAATCGTGACAGCCACTCTCCGCGTGTAGGGAGCAGGCTG